TCCGTCTCAAACAAAAAAAAAAGAGAGAAAACTTATTGTTCTACTAAGATTGCTTCCATAGAATAATTGATAAAAACATATTTCTTCAAAATTAAAAATCTGGCTATGATTTTTGAGTTTAATAAATAGCTGTAGGAATATCACATTCAATGTTTAAAATTAAGACTATAACTAAAAACTTGTAGTTGAATTAGCATTTTTATATTAGGTAAAATTAGAAGGTATTTTTTATGTTAAGTAAAAAGGATTCCTCTTTGAGAATGAGCATATTTATGTCCATTTTACTTACAAAACTTTGGACAGTATTAAATAGAAATTCTAAAATGCCTATCAAATGTATACCCATTTTATTCTTCCTATAAGAGATTACAAAACGATTTACAACCTATCAAAATCAATTCTAATGTTTTGTTTTGTTTTTTTTATTTTAAGTTCTGGGATACATGTGCAGGATGTGCAGGTTTGTTACACAGGTATACATGTGCTATGGTGGTTTGCTGCACCTATCAACCCGTCGTCTAGGTTTTAAGCCCCGCATGCATTAGGTATTTGTCCTAATGCTCTCCCTCTCCTTGCCCCCAAACCCCTGACAGGTCCCCGTGTGCCATGTTTCCCTCCCTGTGTCCATGTGTTATTGTTCAACTCCCTCTCATGAGTGAGAACATGTGTTTGGTTTTCTGTTCCTGTGTTAGTTGCTGAGAATGATGGCTTCCATTTCTTGGATACAATATTAGCAGTTTTTAATTAGAATATAATTTCAGTTTCCTTTAAATTTTCCATCAATACAGAAAACTTGAATGCAATGCAATGTATTTAAGTAATTTACTACTTAGAGTAGAATACATTGTAAGTCATCTGATTGATTGTATTTTCAAATTATTAGTATACTATATGCATATTTTGCTCATACATTCAGTTTCCTTGTTTTGCTTATGACCTTTACATGTCCTAACAGTCCTTTTCCCTTTTATGTACATTTTGAGGTCCTTGAAAGTAGGGATGTGGGAGGTTGATGATCTCTCTCAGAGAGTCTGAGAGGGGGAACTATTTTTGGAATGAAACCAAGATTTGTATTAGATTTTTTTTTTTCTCACTATGTTGGCATTTGGAGTGATGGTGGACAAAGCACTGGCTGGTAAAATTTCCGGTGCTTTAATACAAAGCAAGGCAGTGTGCTCTTCACTACCACGTGCTCATAGTTTTTTTTTTCTAAAGCTGGCTTTACTTAGGATGTTTCCTATAAAACAGTACAAATTAAAAATTACTTTGTTAAATCTCAAAACTTGAATAAACATCTTTTTGATATTCTAGTGACAACATGGGAGGTACACACAGAGCACTTCTGTTACATACAGAAATATATGACAGCTGTCTCAAGGAAAGGTGCCTTATAATTGTTTGAATTGTAGGCTAAACTAGTCGCATTTTATCACAGAATGTCAATTGTACTTGAAAGAACAACTGACAGACCCTGGTTATTCTTATACTGGTATTTAGCAGAATCAAGCAAGCCTAAAATCTAAAGAAAATGACTCAGTATTTGTTGTGAATGATAAAATTCAAGTTTTCATGCAAAAATTAGAATTTTGGAAAACTTGAATGTGGCACCATGAGATAAAGAACTCCCCAATTCTTAATAACTTTTCTGATAAGCTCAGGGATGATATTATCACATTAGATTTTATATATATAGTGAAATATATCAATATTTGGGAAATCAGTATAACTCTGTAAACCAGTACTTTCCAAATGAGCGATGCATGATGTTACAAAGTAGTTCAAGAGAAATATTTACTCAAAGAGCAAGGTAGGCCAATTAAAAATAGTTCATTTATATAATTTCAGAATCCACATAGCTATTACACTTTATAAAATTACCATGTCAAGTTTTGCTGTAGTATGAAATAAGTACATCTATAATTATCTGAAAGATTTCAAAAGCTCTTCCTGGTCCAATACAAGCCTTCAGGAGACTGGTTTTTCTCCATAAACTTCAAACACAGCAATATATTATGGCAGATTGAATACCAAAGCAAAGAGATTTTCACAACTATAAAACAATGCTATTCTTTCTGTATTTTTTTATTTTGGAAAATATAAGTTTTTTATAAAACATGTTATTTTAATATGCAGATAATTTATAATTGTGTTTTTAAATATTTAAACAATGTTAGTTTTAATTTCTGATATGGTAAATGCAATAGATATAACCCACATAAATAGAATCTCTTGGGGTTATCAATTATTTTTGAGTATAAGGAGTTCTGAGACCAAAGTTTGAAAACTTCTGCAGTAGGTCAAATCCATATTTAGATTCTTTTTGAGAGAATATTACAAGTTCTGCTACCCAGAGAGGTCTTTTTTAGTCATTCTTTAAAAAGAATGATGAATTTGGTTCTAAAACCCAAGCAATTTTCATATTATATAGAGTACATTTGTATCTCTTCCAAAGTAGCAACAAATATACTTGTTTTACACTTTACTTTTTAACCTTTATTTAAATATTTGCAAATCCTGCCTTGAGAAAACTACACTATTTTTCCTTCACTTATTCTGCTTATTTGGCTATTGCATAAATGTGGCTATATGTATAATTTTCTTTTTATGTCCTCCTCTCTTTTAAAGAAAATGTTACCTGTAACATTTAAAGCTTGTCCATGATAATAGACTCCAGTCCTTGAAAAACAAATTATTCTAATTAACTTTTGGAGGGCAAAATTTCCCCTAAACAGACGAAAAGTGGAATCTGCTCTATTTATTATAAAGAGTAAGCCTCTCCCCTCCCTCTCAAATTAAAAACTCATCAGTTTATTATATCTCATTGTACCTCTGTAGGAAACATTTACGTCTGGATCTTTGTGTAAAATACCTCACCTGCATGAGGCATAATGATTTTACTATTAAATATTGTTGTACAATCTCAACTAGTTAAAAGATTTGTTGAGATTGTAAGATTAAATATAATGTAAGATATTTTGTAGCACTGGTGACCTATTTTTTTTAAATATCACTAGAAAATAACTTGTTACAAAATTGTATGAATCATGAAGTCACCAGGAATTTTTATTTATTCAGCATTTTAGTCATACCTGATAAGAATCAAAGCCACTATAACAACAGCTTTACCCTACTTATTTGCATTTGAAATTGAGAAAGTGATAGTATGAGTTAAAAGGATGACTATTTAAAAGGCATTGTGGAGGGAAAATTAACAACACACCATTCTCACATCCTTTACTCAGATGCTGGGCAGAGTAGTGATGTTCTTAATTATTTTCCTTCATCCTCAATAGATGTAAACTTCTTAAAATATATAGATTAAAAGTAGAAGAAAACCAGATATGAAATTCTGGAGAAAACCTGTATTTATTATGAGAGCATAACAGAAGAATGCAGAGTAAAAGAGGAATAAGAGAAATCACTAGAAAAGAGAGGAAATGATGATGCAATTGCACATCAAGAAGATGCAATCATACAAAAAATTGAGAAGTTCTGTATGATGATGAAAAATGTTGGTACCTTTATAGCATGACTGGAAGTGATAATGCTTGATGGTGGTTTCCTTAATTGAAGAAATAAAAAGGAATGAAACAAGTTCATATTTTGAATGTAGAATCTAACAACCCTACTAAAGGCCAGGAGACTTGCGTGTGATACAGTCTAATGGTACATAGCTTGTCAAAAAGAATTTGAAAATATGGGGACAGATTTTTCTCTGGTGAGACTGAGAAGCCTGTATATTGTTGTTGAAAAATTACTTTACAAAACTGTGAGTCTCCGAAGGTCCTGTTGTTTCAGCCTTCCGTATGATCTTGAAGCATACCATGAATTTTCTTCTTTTTATCTTCTCCAGGAATATTCTTCCTTCTTCGGACTGACACATGCCTTATTCATCTGAGGTCTTGGGTTTTGCATAACTTTTGATCTAAGTCTTCCTTAACCTGAAAAAATATTTTCTATCTTTATGAACTAATTATTTAACTTTGCAGGGTTACAAAATGTGGCATTATACACTTACTTGTGTTAAATCCTTCTCTACTGAGAAAATGTGAATCTGTGAAGATGAGAGAGTTTTAGTTCACTACAACACATTGAGGAATGGTGATAGCAACCAGCACATGGAAGGCAATCATTAATATATTAGTAGAATGAGTACATGTATAATAAACATGGCACCTGAAAACTTTGGTTATGGACATTGTCTTAAAAGGCAATGAGTTTACCATTTGTTATGATAACTGCTGCTATACAAACAACAGCAGCAGCAAATGTTTTGTGACAGATATGATTTATCACTATCTCACTTGCAGACAGAAATTATATTGTTATCTTGTGCCTTATACCTACATATAATCATATCCATGATTCCAAATCAAAGAAAATACAAGAGTTTATACTCAAATTGGAAAAGAATTATCTGAAATATGACTCTGTAGGCAGGAACTAAAAAAAATTATCAATTCAGTTTTATGAAGATTAATCTTTAAATATGATCAAAAGCCTCTCCTATTAGCAGTGTTGACATATAAATGACAGAGCATAAAAGGTAATCATAATATTTTGGGGAGACCTTTCTTAATTACATAAGCACCCTTAGATTAGTGTATTAGTCAGGGTTCTCTAGAGGGACAGAACTAAGGGAATATGTATACATACACACACACACACGTGTATGTGTATATATATACATGCATGTGTGTGTGTGTGTATATATGTATGTGTGTATGTATATGTATATGTATGCTGATGAACAAGGAGAGTCAGTCCGAGTTTTAAAACTGAAGAACTTGGAGTCTGACGTTGGAGGGCAGGAAGCATCCAGCATGGGAAGAAGATGTAGACTGGGAAGCTGAGCCAGTCTCTCTTGTCTAATTGTTCTGCCTGCTTATATTCTAGCAGCACTGGCAGCTGATTAGATTGTGCCCGACCAGATTAAGGGTGGGTCAGTCTTTCCCAGCCCCACTGACTCAAATGTTAATCTCCTTTGGAAGCACCCTCACAGACACACCCAGGATCATCAATACTTTGTATCCTTCAGTCCAATCAACTTGACACTCAGTATTAACCATCACTATTAGTAAGGAAAACATGAGTCCCAATTTAAAAAAAAAAAGAGTTAAGGATATGAAATTTACACTCTCAAGAGAATAAATACAAACTATTAGTGAACAGGCACATAAAACTTTACCACTTCTCAAAAAAGTACATATGAAATGAATAATGCTAGCATTTTTAAAAAATGTGATGTTATGATATTTTTTAAAAGCTGAGAAATAGGCAGATAGAAGTGTAATAGAGGCCACCATTGTGGTAGCTCATTGGCAATATACATTAAAAATTCTCCGAGTCTTTGATAAAACAATCCTACAGTTAATAATTTTAATAGGAATAATTGAAAAGTTTACAAAGAGATATATCCAATAAGATTTAGCTAGACTTGTTAAGAATATGAAAAGAATCCCCAAAATGTTAAATGTGTTTAAACAAGTTATTTCATATCTATAGGGTAAAATATGCTCAGAAGTAAAACAATAATATATTTATCTATTCATTATTTCCACATTAAATAAAGGGAGAAAAAAAGTAGGTAAAAAGCATTTTATGACCCCATTTTGGGGGGAAATACATGATAAAATCAGTGTCAGCATGAATTTTCCTCAAGGTGTTGGTGATTACAAAGCTTTTTTCTTTTTCTTTTCCTTTTTTTTTTTTTTCTTTGCTCATGAGCATGTTTCAAGGTTTTTACAATATAGTAGTTCCCTGCATTTGTGGTTTTGTTTTCCCAAGTTTCAGTTACCCATGGTCAACAACAGTCCAAAAATACTAAATGGAAAATTCCAGAAATAAATAATGCATAGATTTTAAATTGCATGTTTGCACATTGTTCTGAATAGTGTGATGAAATTGTGTGCCATCCTGCTTCATCTTGCCTGGGACATAAATTATCCCTTAGTTCAGCTTTTTTATACTATATACACTACCCCCATGTTAGTCAATTATTTGGCCATTTTTGTTATCAGAGAGGACTGATAACACAGGGACTAAGCACAAGGACTTTGAGACTGTTAAGTAAAATAAGGGCTACTTGAATACAAGCACCACGATTTTGCTTAGTAACCCTTACAAGTAGAATAAGGGTTACTATTAACACGCTGACACAAGTAATGCTGGCATATTTTTATATTGTTTTTGTTATATTAGTTGTTAATTCCTTCCTGTGCCTAATTTATAAATTAAACTTTATCACGCTTATGTATGTATAGGAAAAAACATAAAATATACAGGGTTCAGTACTTTCTGAGGTTTCAGGTATCCACTGAGGGCCTCGGAATGTAGATAAGGGGGGACTACTGTAAATGAAATCTATTTGTGTATCTAGGAAATATACATATTTTATAATGAAATGCACAAAGAAATAGAAAAATAACATTGATATAAACACATGGAAGATACTTGCTAGGTCAAAAAATATGCAAATTAAATATTTCTGATAGCGAATGCCAGTTTTTTCTCCGGGATTCTGTCACTGGAGAGGACAACCAGCATGCATGTACTCTGCTTGCACAGAAAAATCAAATTAAATATATACATACATATTTGTCAGTAAAATAAATTATTGCTTGCTTTAATTTGCATAATTATATTTGCTAGTAAGACTTAATAGTTTTGAAATATTTATTGCTCATTTTCTTTTTTTTTTTTTTAATTGTGTATGTCTCTTACTCCATTTCTTTCTGAAGGAGAATTTCCCTTTCTTTAACTGATCATGAGGAAACTGTATACATTAAGGTTATTAATGCCTTGTAGGTTTTACACTGTGCAAATATTTTCCCCATTGGGTACTTAATAATTTCTGTTTTCTTTAACATACAAGAATAAATAGCTTTTATGTAGTCTTAGCTACCAAAATTTCTATCATTTCTTTCTTGGAAAAGGATTAAAAAAGAATTGGTATGTTGGATGAGGATGAATTTAATGTTATTTTTTTCTAGTGTTCGACCCAGCACAGATTGAATACTTTATTTTCCCATGGATTTGAAATGCCTCTCTTATCATGTTTTTGTTTGTTTCTGGATTTTTCTCTCTTGTTATAGCAATGTTTGGCTACTCTTGTACTAATGCTATACTGTTTCAGTAATTTTGTTTTCTAATGTGCTCATGTTTGCAGTATTTTCCAAATTATTCTTATCTAATCATTCTTTCAGGTAAAACGAAGTCACTGTCAAAAAATCCCAGAATAACCTCATTTGTGGTTTCAAATTAAATTGCATTAAACCTGAAAAAAATCAATGCCAGGGATTTGGAATATTTTCATTGGTGAGTCCTCTCGTGTCATGTGAACGCGACATGTCTTGCCATTAGGCAAATTTTTATTTATCACCATTAGCATTATAAATAGAAGAACTATTACAAGTGTGCTGATTGAAAAACTCTCTAATCTTCATAACTGAATAGATGGCTAATAAGAAACTGCTTTTAAAATTTACAATTACTGCTGAAGTTGAGATTTGAAACCTGCAAATTGAACTTGTTTTCACCTATGTTTCTATCTTTTTCTAATTGCTTTCTTGATACAACTAACTTTATGGTTTCAATTACAATCTATTCCATAGTTTTCACAACACTTCAGTCCTAACTTTTTCCCATGCTACCATTAAAATCTAACCGTTTTGAATCTTATGAACAGCCCTGTCTAACTCTCCCTCAAACTTAATATCTTTCTACCCTCCAATGTGCTATTTTTTTGGTGTGTGCTCCTTATCTCAGTTATTGTCATCACAATCTATCCAATCCCTCAGGGAAGGAGACCAAGATTTGTCCAAACCACCTTCTCCTTTGTCATCTCCCAACATCTATCAATTATCAAATCTTCTTGCTTTTCAATTCAGGTTCATACTGTGCCTGCACAATCATCTTCATGGAAATAGAATCTACTGTGTCATGCTGGGGTTTAAAAGAATGCTTTGTTACTTCTTGATGCCTATAGGATAAAGAATAAACCCTTCAGCCTGGAGTAAGGAACATTTGTACGGTCTTGGCCAATGGGCCTCTTGATTTTCATTTGTATCTTCTCGACTCAGCAATATACCTATGCTTCACCACAGTAGACTTGTTAAACTTATTCAAACATGCCTCATATTTTATTGCCTATGTGCAAACATAAATTCTTTTTTCTGTCATGCTCTTCTCCATGCCATTTCTGTCTGACACACATGAATCAGCCTTCAGTAGTCAAAGCCAGCTTCTCTGCTTCTCTAGCGATGCAGTCTTCCTCAGGCACCTAGAAAGCATTAGTCAAATGAGATGGTACATGTTAAATACTTAGCACACTGCACAGTACCCAATAATCATTAAATATATGGTAATTTTCTTTAACAGTAGTAGTTGTCTTTTCTTTGCTCCCTTGAATGCTACTTATACCTTTGTCATACCACATTAAATAATATAACAATCTACAGAAATATACTCACCTCATCTTAAGACTGTAACTTATAAGAAGGCAAAATCTGCATCTTAACTATCTTTCTGTTGGGTTTATTTCCCCCACACAACAATCGATACTTACTCTTTTCTGAGTAAAAGACATCAAAACAATTTTCAAATCAGGGAAAAATTGGTTTATTGGTATAAAATCTAATGACCAGTACCCCTCCCCTCAATTTTCTTTCATAAGAGTTAAGTCATGTGCTAAGCATGCAATTGTGTAAACCTTGTTAAATCAATTCTTTGAAATTCTGAGGCAAGTAATATCATCACAGTCTAATGTTTACATCCAAATAGAGGAAAATAAAAGTCTTTAGTTTCAGAAATGTGTCATCCTCCCTCTTTCCCTTCCCTAAGTTCCTTATTCTTATTGTATCGATTTGAATTAGGTTGCATTTCAATTTCAGCTTTTAAATAACATTTATTGAATGTTTACTATGTGCCAAGAACTAAGCTAAGCACTTTGCAAGCGTTGTCCATTTAGTCTTGGTCAGAGTCCTGTGGGGTAAGTCGCCCAAACCTTATTTTACAAAAGAGGGAATTCAACTTTCAAAGGCTGTGTGAGTTTCCCAGGTCTATGTAATACTCAGTGACTCAAGTGAACCTAAAAATAGTGTCGCTAAGATCCCAAGCTCAAACTCTGAACCATTGTGCTAGATTATTTCCCTGTGTGTAGAGGTAGGTCTAAGACAATGGTACGCCACAAAGATGAGGGGATGATTTTGCCTGCCCCCATTTAAACGGTCACTTGGCAATGTTGGAGACATTTTGGTTCTCACAAGTGGGGGAGGGATTCACTACTGACATCTAATGGATAGAAGCCAGGGATGCTGACTCAGGAGAAAGCCCAAGACAGCCCTCCACCAAAATGTCAATAATGCTGAAGCTGAGAAATCCTGGTCTAAGGTAAAGGTGGAGAAACCTCTAAAATTATGGATAGCCACTTAAGAGATTTCCAAGTAGAGAAATGAGTTGGAGAAAGAGGTGTTGGGGAAGGGGTTACACACAACCAACCATTGTAATATATGGTATTATATTTGTTTGTTTGTTTTGTGGAAGACAACCACTACCATAGAAATACTGACGGTGGAGTGCTTAATCCTCTTTAGAACTTAAAACAAGAAAACATCATCTTAAATTCTTTAGGGAAGAAGTTACAGTAGACACCTATGTAAAGATGACACTTGAGCACTCATGTAAATGGATTCTTCTTTTTACATGTCTACTTTAAAACATTAGGTTGTCAGGTCTTGATTATTTTAGCAAATGTATATCAGCTAAATCTTAAATTTGGTGGAAATTTTTTTCCTAACCTGAATAAATATTGAAATTGCAAGTGGCTCGGTAGTTAGACTAGTGCATTTTTCAGGCGTGATATTTTTATTCTTCTGAGGCAAGAGCAATTAATTGATGTTGTCCTGATTCCAAGCTTCTTGCATGGAAGGTCTTTACACGGGCAGAGAAACGTGAAAACCCACTCTACTGAAACATTTGGTAGATTCTCAAGTCCTCATTAATAAACTTCTTGAGGGGTCTTTGGATCCCATGGATTAAAGTGTCTTTGGCAAGAGGGATTTAGTTTTAAAACCACTGAGGTACCCACAGATTCACTCTAAACTCTCCATTGACAGCACATTTTGCCCTTTGCTCATTTGATGACTGCTCTGTAATGCAGTATTATTTAACTGTTTTGCAGCCAGGGCTGGCTTTTTGCATGCATGACCTGTACAACGGCGTGGGGCTCTGTGCCTAGGAGGACCCTGTGCTTTGTTTAATATTCTTCTCTCATCAGAAGTTCTTAGCTTTTGACTTAGGGTCCTAGATTTGCATTTTGCCCTGAGTCCCCAAATTACATAGCTAGTTCATCTTTATAAAGTACATTTTGCTTATGTATTGTCAGGTTGTGGATGAGGAGTGTTGGGGCAATATTCCAATGCACTCCTAATGGATCAATTAAGGACAAAGTCATTACAATCTAAATAAATGGCATTTTTTTCTTCTGCTTGTCAACCTGCTTACGGAGGTTGATAAGCAGAAATACACGTTTTAAAATATTATGTCATTTGGTGTTTGTTAAAATCTAAATTGATAAATCTGTCTTAGAATTCCTATCAAAATCAGAAAAATAAATAAAGAGACTTTTGCATATTTAAAAAGATAGGCTACAACCCACTCAAGGAATACTGGAAATATATCTATAAAGAAATTTTCAAATTTTTAAATTGTATCTCATATGATTGAATAGCACTGTGTTTTGCTAAATATAAATAAAATTGGGGGAAGATACTTTGAAGTTTACCACATCTTTGGCTCTTCTTTTCCAAATTACAAATTTGTAAGTAAACAATTATAAAAACCTAGAAATAGGCTTCATTATAATATGCTATATGAAGATTGAGATTTATTTTTTGGAAGGTAAATTTCCACGTTGTGTAGTTGCTTTGGGTCATTTGATAATATCTCCCTGAGAAAATATGTGGTGCCCAGTTAGCTTGGAAGCAGTGATCAATGTCCTCGTAGCTCATGTGATGAAGAGGCTTCTTTGAAAAAGGAAAAACTGACACGGCATATACATCCATCTCTTGTTTCAGGTGGACTCTAGTGGTCCTAAATATAAACAGAAAAAAAAACCCACAATTTTAGCTTTCAACAGTTAAAAGTTGAGACTCAGAATAATTTCAAATAATGTGCATTTGCGCATTTCTCAGAGCTTTGAAAGGGTTTTTCAAAAATGATTGCTGCTGTTTCTCTTCAGTTATCTATGAATTTATCTATAATATATAAATCTCTATACTTAGTAATTTCCAGCATAACAACCCAGCCTGTCTGACCTCATCCTTAGCTGAAGAGTGACGCACGGTAAGATATGCATTGCACTGTTCTATTTACATAAGTTTATAAAAATAGTATCTTACATAATTACTTCTTTAAACACAGATTGGAATAATGATGGGGAATTCACTGGAGGTTGTAAAATGTTGGTTGAATGCTTAAGAGACCCTCGTGCTATTGAGTATGCCATTTCTTCTGAGTTTCTGATGAACCATGTAATGAAAATATTTTCTGTTACTAAGTGCCTGCTATGATCAAGACACATTATTGCCTTCATTACATTTACTAAGACAGTTGCTAATATGAGTGGGGGGATTCTGATTGTGTATTGCCACATAAAAATCCTTCCCAAAACTTAATGGTATAAGACAGCAGCCATGGCATTATGCTCATGGATGCTAAGAATTAGCTATTCAGTTATGGGATTTAGAATGAACATGGCTTGTCTAGTCCAAGAGTCTGGACTCTCAGCTGTGGAGACTTGAATGGCTGGAAGTGGGTAGAATGCCTGGCATTAAACAGCCAGTGCTGGCATATCTACTTCTGAGTGATTCTCCACTCACTTAAGAGGTGGTTCTGCTAGAACCATCAATCAGAATACTTACAGGTGACCTCTCCTGCATAGGGGCTTTTCTCAGCATGATAATGCCTTCTGAAAGAGAAGATCCTGAGAAGGGAGTATTCAAGAAAAATATGCATAGGCTTCATGAATTTATATTACCTCATCTGAAGAGTAGAGCATCACTTCTGCTGTGCTATAAAGGTCAAAGCAGTCATTTTCCAGCATTAAATGGAGGAGACACAACTACACCATTCATGGGAGGTTTGGTAAAAAAATTTTCAGCCCTATTTTAAAATTGCCACAGATAGGAATTAATTCCCACTGTAGGGTTATGCAAGAGGAGATTAAGAGAGGTTGAATAATTTGCCAAAATCACAGAGCAAGTAAATGACAAAACCAGAATCTAAATCCAAAAGCCTTTGCCTCCTGAAGAGTAATGTCAATTTAGAGAGGCCCAGTTTTTACTTCTCCATAATAGACTTTGTCCAAATTGCATGTAAATAATGAGTTGTATGATTTCCTTTAATATTCTGCCTCACTCTATAGCTCTGCATGAAAGGCAGTGAATTATAATATCTACCTTCTTCTCTATATCCTCAGTGCTTCACAGTGTGAGTCACACAAATTAAGAACTGAATAAATGTTTGTTGAATAAAGGAAGGAAAGTTCAGTTTCATCAAGCTTGAATAAAACTTAAGGTTTCCTCCCATACAACTGTGTGGTCTTGTACAGACATGTGGTCACTACCTCCCTTGCAGGTGATTGGTAATTGTTGGTTTTCTTTCCCATTAGCAAAGTGAATAGTTGACAGAATAACCTTGATTACACTGGAATACAAAACGTTGAGATTTGCCTGATGGCAGAAAACAGAATCTTCAGGGAGCAAGTTTGTATAGTTCATGAATCATGACATCAGCTTGATTGAGGGCTACCAGATAGTCTTGTCATTGTTTTGTTGACTTAAATCTCTATTATATGTCTTTTGTGAACTTACTTATATAACCTTCAGAGCAAAATTCTTGTTTTTGATGCAAATGCTGTTGAATCCATGGAACTCTGCCTTGCAAATTCTCATATTAAAAATTGTAGGCTGGGCACGGTGACTCATGCCCGTAATCCCAGGAGTTTGCGAGGCCGAGGCAGGTGGATAATAAGCTCAGGAGATCAACACCATCCTGGCCAACATGGTGAAACCCCATCTCTACTAAAAGTACAAAAATTAGCCGGGTGTGGTGGCATGAGCCTGTAGTTTCAGCTACTCAGGAGGCTGAGGTAGGATAATCTCTTGAACCTGGTAGGTGAAGGTTGCAGTGAGCCAAGACTGTGCCACTGCACTCCAGTCTGGGTGACAGAGTGAGACTCCATCTCAAAAAATAAATAAATAATAATAATGATAATAAAAA